GGACAAGTCCTAGATCTACCGGTCGATCAGGATCGACGTAATGGGCACCCCTGTATTAGCGGCTACCAGCTATAGCTCCGCCATACCATCTACGTAGCAGTCCACACGACAGCCCACTTTTTCTTTGTAAATGCTATTTGGGATAAATCGGTCCTTCAGTGAGGGTGTTCCAAACAGTGAACACCGGTCACCACTTCCGATTTCTTTCGTGCGGCCTTGTATTCATATTGGCTGCATTTGTTCTGCCGCCTCCTGTTTGTTGGCAACAACTGCATGAGACAAATTGTGACAATTTATCTACTTGTTGCGCTCAGGGCTCAAAAAAGGAAAAAAAAAAAAAAAGGGGATTGTTGGTCGTCCACCCCACACCCTCCAGAAGCTTATTCCTTTCCAATGAAGCTGCTCCCAGCGGCATAAGTTTGCGATAGATTCCATCTTTATTTTTCTGTAACTGTAATGGAATACATCATGTCTTTCCTTTGTTTTGGTATAAAGAAGCACAAGAACATTAGGAAAATGTTGAAATTAAATGAACATATCTTTTACAAAACATTTCATGAAGCACCTTACATTTCCTTCGACAAATGTGCAATTTACTTTTATCATTCACATATATGCATTGCAACTGATCCCACTGATTGTACAAACTTTAACAAGTAATTGGTTTTGAAAAATATAGTAATGCACTTTAAGATTAAACGAGATTTATAAAGAAAGGAAGTTTTAAACCATTTACACGTGCATATAAAATCTAAATGTAATCCCTGCCTACACCTTACAAACTAAGGAGCGTGCTATTAAATGTGTAAATGTGAGAGTGCTATTGATAGCGTCTGCTGTCATGGGTCTGTCTCAGTGATGGACTGAGGCTGCTGTTGTCTTCTTCTCTGATCAAAACAGTGTCCCCTAGCGGATACTCAATGAATTGCACCTTATTAAAAATATTTATTCTGTGTCTTTTATGCATTTTCTTCACTTTTAGATCATCCTGTGGGGCCTGATTGAACGGCCCGCGGACCGTATGTTTGACACCACTGCTTTACATAATCATCTCGCGGGCCGGATTAAAGTCCTTTGCGGGCCGGATCCGGCCCGCGGGCCGTACGTTTGACACCCCTGGGCTGGAACTTCGGAAAATTGATTATTTTGTCAAATATACAACATATACATTATTTTTTCATGCTTTATTTGGTGGACAATGTTTAAGTACTTTCATTGTGACCCTATTTGGCATTTCATGAAATTACTTCACACTTGGCCTTTAAAGCGTTCAGCAAATGCGGGTTTCGGACTTGCGAGAGTCAGCATTTTATTATCAACATACACCTTCAGGGGTAGCCAACTCACGGCTCGCGGGCCGTATTTGGCTCTTTGGCTGGTTCAATGCGGCTCCCGGGCTTTCACATGACGAGCTTCGAAAATGCCTCGGCGTTGGCGCTGCCATTCAAACAACGGCGCAAAGTACAGCACAACTTACGAAGTCATTCTATCATCAACTCCGTTATTTGACATACAGGGCAACCAGTCAGATGACAACTGAATTTTCCCTTTACGTCACCGCTCATGTGCAAACAACGGCGCTAAGTGCTAAGCTTGTCAGCGAATTACCTCTGATTTTAAGGCAGGGCTGCCCAATACGTCGATTGCAATCGACTGGGAACCATCGGACTGCTCCCAAGTCGACCGCGAGGGGTGGGAGGAGGAAATCGAGGGGGGGGATTTGTGTGTCTGTGTATTTCGGTTTCATTAATTTGATTGGGCCATTCTGGCTGTTGCTCATCGTGGCATGCGTGCATGCATATGTGCGCATGTGCATGGTTGGGCGTCCAAGTGCATGCATGCGTGCATGTGTATACCCTTGCACGTGCACGATCGGGTCGATCACGGGAGGTTGGGAGCTTCAAAAGTCGATCTTTGGTCAAAAAAGTTTGCCCTAGGTGGCAAGCTGATCCAAGTCGAAAGTGACTGCTGCAGCTTGCATGCAGACAGTGCCTGCTTCGAATGGCAACAAC